AAATACTCTTGTTCATCTCTAATTTGTCATCCCTAATCCCCAATTTACTCTTTAACATCTCTTTCTGGGGCTACTACACTAGGTGTCCAACCTCCCTCAAATCCAAACTTGTCAGAGTTACAAGAGTATATATAAATACATACATACAATTTCATGGCATATTAGAAAGATGTAGAGCTGCTTTTTATTTTTTGTTACTGCTTCTTTACTGCAATTCACACAATCATGATGTGTGATGTAGGAACACATCAGGGATGTAGGAACTAAAAGAAAGAGTAGTTTCTGTGGAAGCTCTGGACTCTATAACATCTTCTTTTGGCTTGGTGGATTCTTTATAAACCTTTAGCACGTGGAAAATCTATCATATCTACAATCTAGCTTTTTATTAGATTTCAAGGCCTCTTTGGGAAAGACAGACAAGAGGGGCTTATTTCAGTGTTTTGAAATTTAATAGTATTCCTTGGCTCCAGAGACTCCACAAGAGAAGTACTTATTCTCATTTTTTAAATAAACAAGCATAATAAACTAATGTAATTACATGAGTTATAAGCCATCCTTAGTTATGTGCATGCATGTGCATGCACACGTGCACACACGCATACACAGATTTTTAAAAATAGTGTTTTCTTCTGAGACATATTAGCCCAGCCCATAAAGATTAGAAATAAAGCCTTTTATAGTAATTTAAGTAGACGCATGCTTGGGAAGACTGCTCAACTCTTCCCTGTCTTCCATGGTTTTATTCCTGAAACTATCACACTGGATATCAGTTTCCTCCTTTATTCCACCTCAAAAGTGAAAGTCTTAGAGTTAACCATGGTGATTTCCATATTCCCAAGTGGGGATTCTTTTTCATCAACATAGTAGATTTTAGAGCTTAAGGAAGTAGAGACTATGGGAAGGGAGAATTTAAGAAATAGAAGAAAAAATTTAGCTCCATTTCTTTTGCCTATAAATGCTGCAAACAAGTTCGAGCCATCTTGGCCCCAGACTATGTAATCTCAAAGTGCCTTCATTTTCCTTGACCCTCTTTCCAGTCTGAGAAATCTCATTCTAACTGATCCAGGATTCCAGGTGAGATTACCTCTTCCTGTTCAGGAATACAGTATAGCGAATCCAAATTATTTTATTCTTAGACAACTCTGAACTTCTTTTGCAACTAAATACCCAACTCTTGGACACCATCATATTTTAGAAGTAGAAGTGTCTGGAGGACACAAATCCACTCTGATTTATAAAGCCCACAGCCTGCACCGTACCCGGGCATAAAACTGGTCTTGCCATTGAGAACTGGAATAAAGAGTATATCTCACTTGAGTGAAGAGTAGACTATTTGAGTTCTCAAAATCAGTTGTATATCCAATAAAACAACAGCAACAACAACAACATAACCACTTTTGGTATGTTCAGATTCTTAACCTGGAGTTCTTTTTATGTAATGTCACCAACTGATCATAACATAAAAAGTACATACAGCGTATTAACATAAAAATTTCTGAGACCAACAAGATTCAGAAAAGCACTGTACTAATGGCAGAAGTTTTAAAATATGAATACAGGAGCTCTAGATTTATTCTCAATATGTGATTTTTATACACATCATAAATATGCAATCATAAGCCTTAGATCTCCACATCTAAGAATAGAGTATGTTTAATTATTATTTAAAAGAATTATGTGGCATCATGGTTAAGGAAGCTTATTTTATCATGGGATTTTAGGGTTTTTATATTCAGAAAAATTATTTTTTAACTCAATTAAAATCTTGTATTGAAGGAATGGAAAACCACTGAATTTACTATCAGCCCATTAAGGTCTGAGTCTCATCAACATTTTGAAACACAATTTTCAAATTGCTTTCTTTCTCATTTTCAATGGACATAGAAGGAAATTCAGTCTTTATTAAGCTTGATTTACTCTCATTAAGCATTAAAAAAAGAAATTGGGGAGAGGTATGAATAGGCAGAAAACAGAGGATTTTTAGGGCAACGAAAATACTCTGCATGATATTACAATAATGGATGCCTGTCATTACACATTTGCCCAAACAATGTGCATAGAATGTAAAAGAGTGAATCCTAGGTTAACTATGGACTTTGAATGATTACAATATGTCAGTGTAGGTTTATCCATTGTAATAAATGCACCAGTCCTGTGGACGATTTTGATAATGGGGGAGGCTATACATGTGTGAAGGCACCGGTTATATGGGAAATCTCTGTACTTTCCTTTCAATTTTACTTTGAATCTAAAACTGTTGCAAAAAAAATTGTCTTTAAAAATATTTTATTTCTGAGAAATACTACTTTTTTTCAAAATTATCTGAGCTCTAAATTCGAAAGAAATAAAAGTATTTCCTCTCCCAACCTTCTCTCTACATATATGTATCAAATCATATATGATCCAGTAAGAAACATTTATGTCTCCAGAATTTTCGACTTTTTGTAAATATAAAACTTCTACCTAAAAATCCCTCTATAATGCTCTTTAAAAGTTAGACATAAGTTTATCATACAACTCAGCAATTCCACTGATGAATATCTACCTATGAGAAATGAAAACATAGGTACCTACTAAGACTTGCATGAAAATGTCCTTAGCATCATGATTCATAATAGCCTCAAACTGAAAACAACACAAATGTCCATTCACTAATGCAGAGAGACAGAATGTGGTATATCCATACAATGGAAAAAAAGAAATGAAATACTGATACATGCTACAACATAGATGAATCTCAAAAACATTATGCAACGTAAAAGAAGCCATAAACAAAAGACCACATATCGGATGATTCCACTTATAAGAAATGTCCAGAAAAGACAAATCTATAGAAACTGTAAAGAGATTTGTGGTTGGGAGTGAGAACAGAGACTAACCATAAATGGACATGAGGAATCTTTTGGGGGTGATGAAAGTGTTATAAAAACTGAGTTATGATAATGTTTTTACAACTTGGTAAATTTTCCTTAAAAATCACTGAAAGGGGTAAATTTCTAAAAATCTAAATTTCTAGTTTAAAATTGACTAAAGAAGAGAAAAATTGTCTAACACAAATGGTATGTGACACATTTTTAAATTTCCTGCATAAGTATTCCATTAGCCTTGGATATTTTGTTGTAGAAAGATGTGGCAGACTAAAGTCAATTACTTAAGACTCCCCCCCCAAAAAAATCATACTTTGGTTCAAAATGGAATCATTTTATCTTCTGAAGCGTCTTTTTAGAAAATGAACGCTTTTGAGTAGTATCTACAGAGGGGCATTCAAGTATGGATCATATCAGTAGGAAACAAAAAAGGTTTTCAAAATGTTGGCCTAACCAACCTCGATCCACAATCTACCCCATTACAGGACTTTCTGTGAGCTTTATGACCATCAGATCTCATTTTAACAACCCAAATTCTGAGCTTTCTGAATATTAAATCTCAGAAGGATTTTTTTTTAATGTGTAGAAACGCCGATATGAAGAAAGGCATCTTGTGAAGAGACAAAGTGGAGAGACAGATTTTGAATCTACATGTACATAAAGATGTAATGCTCACAGTAATTCTTACCCAATTCTTTTTCAGTATACAAACCGTTGTGTTTTTACTTTTTGATTTTTTTCTAAGTGGATATTTAAGTGGTCTCCGGGCTCAGATTTCTACTTTCTGTCCTGCACAGACTCCGACTAGTAATAACTGAGGGTTTTTTTTTTTTTTTTTGGAGGGGGTAGTGTGGGGTGAGGTGGGGGCTGGAGGGTTAAGTGTGTTTCCCTTTTACCCCGCTCATGCTAAACGTTTTCCAAAGGAACCGAGTTCAGTTGCGCTCCCTGGGATGAATTCTACGAAGATGGGACTGGAGGGTCAGTCTCAGCCTTATTCTGCAGGGAGCCAGCTGAGGAAGACGGGCCATCTCCCCCAGAAGACACTTTCAGGTGCTTCCCCAAGGGATTACAGCAGCGGCAAGCAGGACCCACGCCCTCCATCTCCTAAGCCCCTGCGAACTCCCGGGCAGGAGTCCTAGGCTCGGGGAAACCTCCGGATCATCCGGTCTAATCAGTCCCGTATTTTGTCAAAGAATGAACGGAGACTAGTGAGGTGAGATGAGGTGAGTTGGCTAAAGCCACAGAGCCTGACGCTGGCAGAGCGGGTTAGAACTCGCGTCTCTCTGCTTTTCGGGTGGCCGCCAGCAGCTGCCTGGGGCTGGGAACGCGCAGCCCAAGGAGAACGACGTGGCATTGCCGGCGAGAGAGGCTAAGGGCTCAACAACTCAGGACAGGAGGTCACTAATGTCCACCTTCAGGGCAGACTCGGCAAAAAACACGTAACCAAACCTCCCAGGTTATGCCTGTTGACCTAAGCTCCCCCTTGCACCCAGACAGTACCTCAGTTTGCATACTAATGATGTGGCCGCTCTAGCACACCGGGCACCTGCTTTGAATTCCCCCGTGCCTGTGCAGACTGAGCGGAAAATGGGAAAGTTGCACTTACCACATCTTCCCTCACTCAGTCTCCCCCGACTCCCCAAGTCCTTTCCCTCCCTCCTTCGCACCAGCCACGCTCACGCCCGCTATCCCTCCACCTGGTACGTACCAGCCGCGCGCAGAGCTCCGCGCTGAGCCTGGGCCAGGTGTCCTCGCGCTCGGGTTCGCCCAGCCTCCCTGTGGCCGAGAGCTGCGACGCGGGCTCCAGCTCCCTGCCGCCTTTCCCGTCCACTGCGATGCGGACGCCTCTGAGCTGCTGGGCTGGGGCGCAGCCAGAAGGTGGCAGTGACTCGGGGGCGGAGGGAGCGACAGGCTGGACCCGCCCCCGGCGCAGAGCGCGCCCCCCCCCCCCCCCCCCGCCACGCACACACCCTCCTCGGTATCCGCGTGCAGTGGAGCTCTGGGCGCCGTGAGGCTCGCGCGGAAGAGCGACAGTGGCTCTTCCCGGTTGGCGCCCCGCGCAGGACTCTCCTGCAAGCGTGTTAACAAAACTCGTCAGTGATCACAGAACCTCTGTTCTACCCTCCTAAACTCGTCAGTGATCAGAGAACCTCTGTTCTACCCTCCTGCCAATCTGTCCTCCTGGGTGATTGCTCAGGTTGTGTTAAGAATTCGCTTGATGTGAGTGCAGGAATTTCGCCACTCTCCCAGTTCCCAGACGCTACAACTTGTCGGTTCGACCCATCGTGTGCGCCCGGGGGATGTATTCTCCAAGAGTCCTAAGGTTGCGTTTTGATCTACTCGTGACTGTTTGGAGAAGGTAGGAATGTGCATAGTTTTCTTATCTGCACCCAGAATCTGGGTCTTCTTGTTTATTAGCAGATTATTTTAACAGATTGGGAAGGAACATGCAATGCCAACAACTTTTAGGCAAAGAAAAATAGATAACAATGCCATATCCAGTTTCGTTTTCAGGTTCTCACAAGGAAAATTAGGTCCTTATTAGGGTTTCATTGTGTCCTTTGAAAGCCATGTTACCTGGAGCCTGCTTCGGATTCTGTGTCTCCCTCTCTCTCTAACCCTCCCCCGCTCATGCTCTGTCTCTGTCTCAAAAATAAAATAAAACATTAAAAAAAAATTTTTTTTTTAAAAAGAAAGCCATATTAAATGGATGACAATAGTGCTGAAAAAATTAAGATACGATTCTCTGGTTTGTCCTCATTAAAGTCCTGAGATCGCCTCTGTTTTCCTGAAAGTCGTTTTTAGTGCTTAAAATCTTAATACCAATATTCGCATTGGCATTCTGCTCTGGCTCCCTAACCAAGGCCTATGATACCTGCTTCACTAATGACTACTTCTAAATTCCCTTTTTAGGCAAAGGCTATGTGAGATACAAAATTATAATCAGTCAAATATTTGATTTAAAATACCAACTAATGGTGCTACAATCAGGCCCTTTAAGTTACTTAATATTCTTACCCCCACAATGTAGTAATAATCATCACTATTTTCATTTAACAAACCGAGGTCCAGCGAGGTTAGATAAGGTTTGAATAAAGTGAAATAGCTAAGACTGCAAATCAGTTTTTGAACTTAGGTTTTTCTGCCTTTAAGGTTGATCAACTTTTCTAAACTTAAGATCTGTTAATAAAGCTTATGATTTTTCTAAATGTCGATCCTGTAGTATGTTTTATCTTCTAAGAACATAGTTACTTGTGTGGTTGTTCAAATATTAATTAAAGGAATTGAGATTGATATTTTTAGTGTAACTTCAAAACTTATTGACATTATCAAAATTATTTGTATACCAAATATATTATAAATATTATTATTAAGGCAAATTATTCTGAGTCCTATTCATTTGAGATAGCCTATAATACAGAATGATACTAAAATGTTTAAATATTTGAGTTATACTATGATGATCGGATTTTTATGATTCTGCAACTATATATATACCTTTTACTCACAAAATTTGTTTTGTTAGCCTTGTATTTTGGGTTAAATTTGATAATATTATTAGTCTTTACTGATACACTTTTAAATTACATATTTGAAATAATCAGAATCACTTGAATGTATGTCCATGAACACTCTATCTTCAGTAGCTAGAGTAGCACAAAACAAGTGCTTAAAAGCAGTTTTTTAATGAAAAAATGTAATTTCACTTCCTTCAATTAAGACAAAATAATGACTTAAGAAACCACTGTAGAATGCTTTTGTCTACTTAGAATAGGAAGATTTTTGATAGTCTCTCACTTCTATAGGAAAGTAAGGGAGATGATGCCATCAGGTAAACAGCCTAAAGGTTTGCAGTAACTGTTGCTAAGAATGGTAGAGAGAACCTGACCATAAATCCAAAGAAGTACTTCTGAGTCCAGGAACTGGTGGTGGTAGTAGTTGCACACGGTTGTGTGAATTTTTGTAAAATGTATGATTCTAAATGCAGAAAGTTTAATCAACTGTGGGGCTTTACCAAGTGGTCTGATGGAAAAACTAGGAGAAAACTTGGCTGCCATTACTAAGAGAGCAGGTGAAGGACAGAGCCATGAGATTAATGTAATACTACATAGGAGAATAGGTGGAGACATAAAAAAAAGGAGAGAAAAAGAAGTTAAGGAGCTACAGATATAAATCAAATGAGGGAGAGAGAAAAATAAGCTATAGTCAAGGTGGGATAGGTTTCTTGAAAGTTCTAATAGTAGTGATGACATGGTTTATGGAAGAAAAGTGGGTGAGGTTGGCTGACATAGAATGAAGATGAAGAAATTGGAGACTAAGGTACTGGAAAGGCCTTTCACAAGGACACTGAAGCCACCAACAAATAAGAGAAGCCATGAGAGTGAGTCATATACCAAAGATTTCCATGAATGTGGTGGGATGATCTGAAGCCAAGTGGATGACTGTGCAGAGTTGGGGCAGAAGGTACATATACAGGAAGCAAGGGGCTAAACAGATCAAGGGCTGATATAAGAGGTGGTCCACTGTTCAAAATCAATACTGGGGAGCTACAAGGATATCAATGCTGCCTTCCATGGCTCTAGGAAGTTAAACAATAAGCATTTTATCCTGAGGAAAGAAGATCTATGGGAAACTATTCTCAGAAGAAAGTTGATTTTCACATAAAGCAAGAAAATGGATAAAGCATAGTGTGAAGAAGTTACCAAGGTAGTGGAATTTATCAGTATTGAACAAAGACTCTGCAAGGTCAGGGTGGATATATTTAGGAGGCAGAGCTGGCCTCACAAGTATCCAGCCTGTGAGTAGCACAGGGCTCTATTCTAAAAAGGCCCTGGGGCACCTGGGTGGCTCAGTCAGTTAAGCATCTGACTCTTGGTTTCGGCTCAAGTCGTGATCTCACAGTTTGTGGGTTCGAGTCCCAAGTCAGGCTCTTCATTGCCAGAATCTCTGCTTGGGATTCTTTCTCTTGTCCTCCCTCTCTTCCCCTTCCCTGGGGGATCTCTATTTCAAAATAAATAAATAAACATTAAAAAGAAGAAGAAGAAGGAGGAGGAGGAGGAGGAGAAGAAGAAGAAGAAGAAGAAGAAGAAGAAGAAGAAGAAGAAGAAGAAGAAGAAGAAGAAGAAAAAAGAGAAGACATCTCCATGGTTCCCTTACAACTCTTCTGTTCTTGTCTTGAAATTCCTAGTTTTAAAGTGACCCCACATTTTCATTTTGCAATGGTTCCCCCAAATTATGCAGCCAGTCCTGTTTGGGGGAAGTGAAGAAATTGGAGTACAGAGAAGGAAGAAGCAGTACAATCCCTCTGAGAATTAAAGTATGGGAGAGACTGAATCAGGAGGTGGTATTGTGAGGGGAAGTCAAGAATGGTGGAGGAAGCTGTGTAGTTGTAGGGTTTCAAGTGACATCCACTTGGGCTCTCTTCAGGGCCAGGCCAGCTGAGATGTGGGCAGGAGAGGCACACAGCAGTCCCCATCAGACTGCTCCATGTTTCCAGAAGCTAGTTTCCTAGGGCTGCTATAACATATCTCTGCAAACTTGGTGACTTGAACCAGCAGAATTTTATTTTCTCACAGTTGTGGAAGCCAAAGTTTGAAATCAAGGTGTTGGCAGGGCAGTGCTCCCTCTGAAGGCTCTAGGGGAGACCCCTTTTTGCCTCCTTAGCTCTTAGTGGCTATAGGTGATCATTGGTGCTCCTTGGCTTGTAGCTGCATAACTTCAATCTCTATCTCCACCTTCAAGAATATTCTCTGTTTTTCTTCTCTGTGGTCTTCACTTTTCTCTTATGAAATACTTTACCTGGTTAATCCAGAATAATCTCATCTGGAGCTCCTGATCTTAGTTACGTCTTCAAAGACCCTTTTTCCAAATAAGGTTACATTCACAAGTACTGGGGTTAGGACTTAGACATATCTTTTTGGAGACTAGCATTCAGTCTACTACAGTGAGGTTGGCTGAGGCCATACGAATAGCCAGTCTGGATGACACTGGCAGCTGATAGCTTTTCAGGTCTATTTAGAAAACCAGGATATCTATAATAATGTGAAGCTTATCAATGTTTCTAAAGCTTTCCAACCATGAAATTTAATACATATGAAACCAAAAGATTAAAATTGCCTAGAGAGACTTTACATCCCCAGGAGTGACTATCTGTCCTTGGGGACAAAATGCACTGAGGAGAGGAGTCCTGTACCTGGGACAGTGTCCCATCTGGTTATAGAGAATTGAGCAAATGGAATCTTCCACTCCTCCTCTTCAGCCATCTTCCATTCTGGAGGACATATGTGGTTCCCTGGTACTAAAAGAGAGTCTACAGGATGACCACATCTCTCCCTGAAAATACAAGATTTAGAAAGATTGGAGGAATGACCTTGTGAATCTGTATCAGATGCTGAACTAGCTTTCCAAATCATGACTTATAAAGAACAATCTTAAAAAATCCTAAAGAAGGAAGAAAGGGGCGCCTGGGTGGCTCAGTCAGTTAAGCATCTGGCTTTGGCTCAGGTCATCATCTTGCAGTTTGTGAGTTCAAGCCCCGCATCGGGCTCTGTGCTGACAGCTCACAGCCTGGAGTCTGCTTCAGATTCTGTGTCTCCCTCTCTCTGTTCCATCTCCACCCTCTCTCTCTTTCAAAAATAAATAAACATTAAAAAAAATTTTTTTAATAAAAAAAGTAAAAAAATTTAAAAAACTAAAAAAAGAAGGAAGAAAGAAATGTTGAAACCATTCTGTGCCAACCTCATCCTCTTCCTCCAAACAACAGGCACTCTGAGAAATGGTTGAGTAGCTACCAAAGTCCAATGGAGCTCCCCTTAAATACAGTCACACTCTTCTGCTTATAATAGAACAGAAGCCATAAATTCCTTCAAATGTTCCACCTATTTTTTCTGGATGATGACAGTGAGAAGGTCCCATGTTGTGCCAGTGGGGGCTGCAACATAACTGGGCCAAGATCTGCAGATCAGAGGAGCAGCCATCTTTGAGTGACCTTGAAGGAAGTTGCCTTGAGACCAAGTTTGGATGACATAGTGGCCTTTGGCAGAAGGGAAGCCTGAGTTGGCCAGTGGTGACTCTGCTTCTGTGGTGTGGAAGAAAAGATATCATCACAGACCCACATCATCAAGGTTGGTGAATCCATTCATCTGAGGCTATAGAGTGAGAGGTAGAGCGAAGAGGAAGAGGATGCTCTCCTTTTAGAATTTAAAATAGAAATATTCTAACAAAGTATTCCAAATTATCATTACATTCATACGTTTCTCCTGCTTCTAGTCAATGGGGCATCATTTCACAGAGTAGCAGAGTATATGAAAAAAAACAAACAAACATTAAAAAAAAAAAAAAAAAAACCACTGAAAACAGGAAACCTTGTGCTCTGATCCCAAGTAGTAAGGCCATTAATTGTGAATATTCTCGCTAAAGTCAGTTTTCTCTGAAGGGAAAGAGAAGCTATAAGATCAAAAGATTGTCCTGCTCTAAAACTCTATAAACTGAATTGGCTTTCTTATTCAATCCAAACTCTTCAGCCCAGTGAGAACACCTTACCCACCCATCTCCATCTCACTTCAATTCTTATCATTTCCCAACCAAATCCTTTTCCAGATAAGCTAGTCAACTTGCCAGTCCCTGTGACTGGCTTCTGCAGTCCAACATTCGTAATTGGTGTAGGTGATATGCTTATTTTCACTACTTTCTACTCCTAAACAATGTTATTTAATTTCCCCAAACTCCTGTTCACAAATAATCTACTTATGAAGACCTAGTGGTGAATTTTTTCCATCTCTGATCAATTTGTTCAAACATATGTCATGTGTTTGGGGAGTATAGCAATGTTAAATTAAAAGAAAACTAGTATTTTCTTAAGCTCTTGGCATGCCCTTAAAATACTTTCATCTGTATTAAGTCTCCTAATTAAACTGTAAGCACAAAGTTCTTATATTCCATAATAGAATATATGGAATTTTCCAACTTCTTCCAGTAAATAAACAATGTTTTAGAAACAATAAAAATAAAATTCCTAACCATGGAGCCATTCACTGGTACAGGACTGAAACATTCTTGGCCCAGAGTAGGCATTCAATAAATATTTTTATGTAAATATATAAGTAAGTCAATCGACCCTTTTCTATTCAACCATAATTTTATACACACACACACACACACACACACACACACAAACACATATGAAAACACCAACTATTCTTCTTCAATAGGATGACCTTTCACCAGTATGTGATAATTTATTTGTTCAAATTAGTTTTATTTTTAGCAGCATATTTAAGAAATAGTTAAAACATTTTAATATACGTTTATATGTATTGCTTTTGTGTACAGATTCATAAAATCAGAGATGAGATCTTTAAGATTAGATGATCATCATAATTAAAAAATTAATAACTTCTAACCCAGGGGATCTCAGTGTCTCTAGAATTTTCTCTCTGTCCCTGTTTTTAAGTAAGTTCTCCACCCACCATAGGGCTTGAACTCACCATCATGAGATCAAGAGTCACATACTCTACTGATTGGCCGAGCCAGGTGCCTCTGGGATTTTCTATTATATTAGAAAACTTACATTTTTATCAGATGTCCAATAACATTTACATGATACTTATTATATTATTCACAGTAAATATTATGTATTATGGTCCTGAATTACTCATTAACTGTAGGTAACTATATTGAATCCTAAGTTATCTTAAAAAATGAGTTGGGTCTTTTTTGATTTGAGGCAAATTCTAATGTAACTCAAGTATCGCTCATGGAAGTTAGGATGGGTAGAGTCATCTAAAAAGGGAAGCTTCTGAGATGTTCCTGGGGCATGGACTTGAATGCCATCTCAAAAAAATCTCCTTGGAAATTGAGAATTTACACTTAACTCAATTGCAACCTCCCCCCCACCTTTCTAAAAGTTTCCTTATACTGTACAGGAGTTAGAAAAGCTGTAAAAATTAACATTATCCCATAAATCTAAGGCAAATATGATATTGTGATTTATAAGAAATAATATATTTTGGTCATTCAGATGAATGGCAACCAAAATATATTTCTCATAGTCCTCCATGGTTTCTGGTTCACAGCTCCTAAAACCTTTGGAGTGATAAGTGATAAAACCTTTCCTGTGATAAGGGTGATAAAGGTATCTTATCTTCTGTTATGTTAATGAGGTGACTTTTGGGAAGCTCTCAGGTAACCTAAGGACAGTGAGCTGATAGCCAGGAGAACCAACCATGTCATTTTTTTAAATTTTCACTTCCAGTTTGTTTGTTTGTTTGTTTTTAATATAAATAATTTATCGTCAAATTGGCTTCCATACAGCACCCAGTGCTCATCCCAACAAGTGTCCTCCTCAATGCCCATCACCCATTTTCCACTCTCCCCCAGCCCCCATCAACCCTGTTTGTTCTCTGTATTTAAGAGTCTCTTATAGTTTGCCTTCCTCCCTCTCTGTTTGTAAGTTTTTTTTCTCCTTCCCTACCCCCATGGTCTACTGTTAAGTTTCTCAAGATCCACCTATGAGTGAAAACATATGGTATCTGTCTTTCTCTGACTGACTTATTTCACTTAGCATAACACCCTCAAGTTCCATCCACGTTGCTGCAAATGGCATGATTTCATTGTTTCTCATTGCTAAGTGGTATTCCATTGTATATATAAACCACATCTTCTTTATCCATTCATCAGTTGATGGACACGTAGGCTCTTTCCATAATTTGGCTATTGTTGAAAGTGCTGCTATAAACATTGGGGTACATGTGCCCCTATGCATCAGCACTCCTGTATCCCTTGGGTAAATTCCTAGCACTTCCTGGGTCATAGGGTAGTTCTATTTTTTGAGGAACCTCCACACTATTTTCCAGAGAGGCTGCACCAGTTTGCATTCCCACCAACAGTGCTAGAAAGTTCCCATTTCACCAGCGTCTATAGTTTCCTGAGTTGTTCATTTTAGCCACTCTGACCGGTGTGAGGTGGTACCTCAGTGTGGCTTTGATTTCTATTTCCCTGATGATGAGTGACATTGAGCATTTTTAATGTGTCTGTTGGCCATCTGGATGTCTTCTCTGGAAAAGTGTCTATTCATGTTTTCTGCCCATTTCTGGGTTATTTGTTTCTCGGGTGTGGAGTTTGGTGAGTTTTTTATAGATTTTGGATACGAGCCCTTTATCCCACGTGTCATTTGCAAATGTCTTTTCCCATTCCCTTGGTTGCCTTTTGGCTTTGTTGACTGTTTCCTTTGCAATGCAAAAGCTTTTTATCTTGATGTCCCAATAGTTCATTTTTGCTTTTAATTCCCTTGCCTTTGGAAATATGTCAGGTAAGAAATTGCTATGGCTGAGGTCAAAGAGGTTGTTGCCTGCTTTCTCCTTGAGGATTTTGATGGCTTCCTGTCTCACATTCAGGTCTTTCATCCATTTTGAGTTTATTTTTGTGTATGGTGTAAGAAAGTGGTCTAGTTTCATTCTTTTGCATGCTGCTATCCAGTTCTCCCAGCACCATTTGTTAAAGAGACTGTCTTTTTTCTATTGGATACTCCATAAAATACCTAGGAATAAATCTAACCAAAGATGTAAAAGATCTGTATGCTGAAAACTATAGAAAGCTTATGAAGGAAATTGAAGAAGACATAAAGAAATGGAAAAATGTTCCATGCTCATGGATTGGAAGAATAAATATTGTTAAAATGTCAATACTACCCAAAGCAATCTACACATTCAATGCAATTCCAATCAAAATTGCACCAGCATTCTTCTCAAAGCTAGAACAAACAATCCTGAAATTTGTATGGAACCACAAAAGACCCCAAATAGCCAAAGCAATATTGAAGAAGAAAACCAAAGCAGGAAGCATCACAATCCCAGACTATAGCCTCTACTACAAAGCTGTAATCATCAAGACAGTCTTATTTTGGCACCGACCATTGTCATTTGAGGGTTGTAAGTTTCAGTTTCCCAGACTTCCAGGGAAGGATAGGACTTGGAGTTTGAATCAGCCAATGCCAATGACTTAAGTCAGTCATGACTGTGCACTGAAACCTCCATAAAAACCCAAAAGGACAGGGTTGGGAAAACTTCCAGGTTGGTGAACACCCAGAGGTGCCTGGAGAGGTCAGGGAAGCTCCTCATGCTTTCCCCATACCTCATCCTATAATATCTCTGCATCTGGTTGTTGATTCATATCCTTTATCCTATCTGTAATAAACTGCTAAACGTGTTTCCCTGAGTTCTGTGAGTCACTCTGGAAAATTAAAAGAACCTACGGAGGAGGTCATTGGAACCTCCATTCCAGAAGTACAGGTAACAGCCTGGGGTTTGCAACTATCTGAAGTAAGGGGTGGAGAATAATCTTGTAAGACTGAGCCCTTAACCTGTGGAATGTGATACTATCTTCAGGTAGATAGTGTCAGAATTGTGTTGAAATCTTGGACACCCTACTGGTGTCCTAGAATTGCTTGGTGTGGGGGTGGGAGACACCCTCCCCACATTGAAATTGGGTCCAGAAACCCTAAAGGAGAAAATAACAACAAAAAATCGTATGCTTTCATTTAAAATATCTGAACAATTGAAATATACTCTTTAGCATTAACATTTGTCTGGGTTTCTTGGATTAGATGCATCTTATCCATGATTCTCCTTTTTAGTTGCAGCCCTAGACAAAATTTTAACGTAAGTAAAGCCTGTTGCCTTTCTGCATCTTTTTCATCTTCTCCTTTCCAGCTATTTAAGTTCTCCTGTGAGCCATGAGTGGGTTTATAAACACATTGACCCTCTCAGTAGGTTTTTGTGCAACACTCTTTGAAGTCAGCAGTGAACTAGAGCAGAGCAATTGACATTGCAGAAGAGAACTTTAGAGAAATAGTATAATATCAGAGAATGAATAATTTATTTCCAAAGATTAGAGTCTAAGCACCACTCTAATACCTATAAGGAGACATCTTCCTTTACAAATGAGACCCTAACATTACCAATTAATAGATATGCGTACAATAAATCTTTTCCCCAACCTTGTATTAATTTTCTAAAAAAGAGGGGTGCCTGTGTGGCACAGTCAGCTAAGTGTCTTACTTCAGCTCAGGTCATGATCTCATGGTTTCGTTTTTGGGTTCAAGCCCTGTATGGGACTCTGCACTGACAGTTCAGTGGAGCCTAAAGCCTGCTTCGGATTCTCTGTCTCCCTCTCTCTCTGTCCCTCCCCTGCTTGTGCACACACGCATGCTCACTGTCTCTCTCTCTCTCTCTCTCTCTCAAAAATAAATAAATATTTTTATAAAAAGAAAAAAATAAGAACAAAATTTGTTCCTTGGAAGGAACAAGGACTGACTGCAATCTATCACCTTGAGAATTTACCAGACAAGGCCCATATTTTCCTAACCTTTTCCAAACTATTTAACGAAGATTCCCTTTCTTAAGTAATAAGGAAAATTTTGATATAGATTACTAGGTTGACAGGGTTTTTTTCCCAATACTTTTTTAAAGTTGCCCTACTTTGTCCTGTGTACAAAATGTGTTTTTAATTCTGTTCTTAGGATTTTCTCTTTGCCAGTGATTTTAAGTCTTTTTCCTCTCTGTGTTTTATTTTGAGTAGTTCTTTTTGCTGTTTTACTCTGTAGTGTTTAATCTACTGTGAATCCTATACAAGTGTCCATTTCATCTCGGATGCTATATTTTGCATCTCTAGAACTTTGATCTAGATGTTGACTTTACCCACCTTCCATGCCTCTACTTAGTGTGCTCCATCTTTCCTCTACATGGGATATAGCTACAATAATTTTTATAATGTCATTACATACTAAGTCAATTGTCTGTGTCAATTTCGGATTGTTTCTATTGATGGTTTTTTCTGTTCACTTTAGGTCACATTTCCCTTCTTCTTTACACGTGTGGTAATGTCTTATTAGTTGCCAGACATCGTGATTTTGCCTTGTTGGGTGGGTGATGGATAATTTTGCATTCCTATAGAATTTTTGAACTTTGTTCTTGACCATAATTAAGTTACTTGGGAAGAGTTTATCCTTTTGAGACTTTCAATTAAGTTTTATGAGATAGGATTAAAGAGAATTCATTAGCCTAGGGCTTATTTTGCTCCACTGTGAGGTAAGAATTTTTTGAGTACTCAAACTAATGTGTCTTGAATAATGACTGAAATTCTAGGTGCAGGAACGTGAACTACTCTCAACT